GCTGGGTGCATCCCATTTGGCCCCATGGACTTGTATATGTCCAGCTTTTCTAAGTACCTAACCAATTCTTTTGCCCCTGTTGGCTGCTCACCTCCTCCCCAAACTGTCCTGCTAGGTGCAGTAGCCTGGGAGCTGACCTTGCCTGTGAAGCCTGAGGTGAAAAAGGAACTGAGTGCTTCAGCCTTTTCTGGTCCTCTGTTACTAGGCTGTCTCCTCCATTTAGTAAATAACCCACACTTTCCCTGATTTTCCTCTTGTTGCTGACATACTTATAGAAACCCTTCTTGTTACCCTTCACATCCCTTGCTAGCTGCAACTCCAGTTACACTTTGGCCTTCCTGATTTCATCCCTGCATGCCTGAGCAATATTCTTATACTCCTCCCTAGTTGTTTCTCAAAGTTTTCCACTTATATGCTTCTTTTTTTTAAATTTATTTAGTTTACTGAAGAGTTCCCTGACAAGCTACTCTGGTCTTCTGCCATACTTGCTAGTCTTTCTGCACATTGGGGTGGTTTGTTCCTGCACCCTCAGTAAGGTTTCTTTAAATTACAGCCAGTTCTGGACTCATCTCCTCCTCAGACTGGCCTCCCAAGGGATCCTGCCCATGAGTTCCTTGAATGAACCTAAGTCTGCTTTTTTGAAGTTCAAGGTCCTTACTCTGTGCTCTTCTTCTTTCCTTCCTTCCTCCAGATCCTGAGCTCAGTCATCTCATGGTCACAGCTGCCCAAGTTGCTATTCACTACTGCCCCACCAATTCTTCCCTGTTTGCGAGTAACAGGTCAAGAAGAGCATTGCCCCTAGTTGGCTGTTGCAGCATTTGCACCAAGAAGTTATTCCCAACACTCTCCAAACACTTCCTGACTTTCAACAGGCCTATCTCCCAGTTTCATACTGGGGGACTGAGCAGTCATACAGCTCTTTTACATAAAGAGCAACTCCTCTTCCTCTTCTGCCTTGCTTGTCCTTCCTGGACAGTTTAAATTTATCCATGACAGAGCTCCAGTCATGTGAGCTATCCCACCGAGTATCTGTTATTCCAATCATATCACACTTCCATGACTGTGAGGACTTCCAGCTCTTCCTGCTTGTTTCCCAGGCTCCGTGCATTCATGTACAAGTACCTGAGGTAACTAGCCAATTGTCCTGATCTCTTGGGAAGAATGAGAACACCTTCCCTGTTGCCATCTCCTGCTTTCATTTCCTCCAGGTCACCCACTTCCCCACACATCACAGGGCTTTGATCTTCATCCCCCAATGAATCTAGTTTAAAGCCCTCCTCACTAGGTTAGCAAGCCTGTCTGTGAAGTTGTTCTTCCCCCTCTTCATCAGGTGAATCCCATCTTTTCCTAATAATTCTTCTTGGACTGTCATTCCATGGTCACAGAAGCCAAAGTCCTACCAGCAATACCATCTGCACAGCCATGCATTGATCAGCGGGATGCACCCACTCCTGCTCTGGCCCTTTCCCTTGACTGGAAGGATCGAGGAGACCCCCCTCTCCTTCACCCTTGCATTTAGAACCGTGTAGTCACTTTTGATCTGTTTAGGGTCTCCCAGGGCAGCATGATTAGTGCCCACATGAATGGGCAGTGTGGGGTAGTAGTCAGAGGGCTGGATGAGTCTTGCAAATGCAGTGATAACCAGTTAGCTTACCGGTTATCCTTTAACTCAGGGTGATGAGTGCACTACATGCACTAAATCTGAGAGCTGCAAATCCTGAATCTGAGCAGAGTCTTAGTGACCTCTTTGTGTTCTGCAAGTTCTCTTGAGTGCTGCAGAGTTCAAGATTGTGCAGACACAGAATCCTCGCAAATTCATGCAGGATCTAGTAGGGATGTGAAAGTTTAAGTGATTAATCATTTAACCAATAAATGCAGTGTTAACCAGTTAGCTTACCAATTATCTTTTAAATCAGGGCAGGTGCAGTCTGGAAGGGACGCCACTGTGGTGCCCCAGCAGGAATCAGAAGGCAGCAGGGGAGGGGCAAAGGGCACTAGTACCCATAACCTAAGAGGAAAACAGGCAGCAGACTAATGATTCATCAATTAAGCAGTTAGCTTCCTCTTCACAGGTGCTCCTTTTCTCCCACCACAAGGCTTCATCTGGGCTATATCTTCCCCCCTCCACCTAGTCAAAGGGCTTAAGGTGCTGGGAGTTGCTCCCAGAAGCAGCTGTCTGGCTTTGAGACCCATAATTAAAAGGGCCCAGAGCATCATGTGCATCAGTGTCCTTGTGCTGAAAAATGGTGGTGGGGGTGCTTTAACTAAAGCTCATTGAATGAATTTTAGTTAGTGCTCTCATCATCATTTTTAAATATGGGGACACTTGATGCTGGAGCTTAGTAACTACCATGCTTCAGCTCCAATGCACTGAAATTTTACAGCGTGTCAGAGCAGCCTTGGTGTACATGTATAAGTATCCTAAGATTTTTTTCCTAAAATCTTCAAATGCAACAGTTTTCTAAAGAGAGCAATTGAATATGTTTGTGTGTGTGTGTGTGTGTATGTGTATGAATAAAATAAAGGGCTTAGTCCATCTGTTTATCTGCCTGTAATGCTCTTGGAGTGCTCTGATTGGTTACTGAAACAACCAATCAGAGTGCTCCAAGAACATTATGGACAGGTGGTGGTAGCAGAGATGGCAGTAGCATGGTAGAGTACCACCATGATGGGAGGGATGGAGCAGGTGGGTCAGGCCATTGCCGTTGGCCTCGCCCCTACCCCCTGGTCCTGCTCCTTGGAGGTGGCAGCGGTTGCGGGGTGTGGTAAGGTAGGGTTAGGGTTAGCAAGGGGCTGGGGCAGAGCTGCAACTTGGTGCCTGCATGCCCTTGCCTGGAGCATACAGGCTACAGATTGCAGCTCTGCCCCAGCTCCGGGCCATGCTGTCACTGCTGCAAGATCCCAGCCCAGCCCAGGAGCAGCTCCCTGCCCTGCCACGCTCCCTGCCAGCACTGCTGGAGTTAGTCTCCACAGGACTCTGGCCCTGGGCTATCACAGTGTGGCTGCTGCTGGGGTCTCCATAGAAACAGGCCTCAGCCATCTGGGCAGGGGCTGCTGGGAAATGGAATCTAGCCACTAGCTGGATCTACCATTTTGCTCATCCCTAGCATACATACCGGGGTCTGGTTTTTCAAAATGTTTCACTTCCCAAATTATGGGCCAAATCTTCAGAAATAACCAGCGCATAGTGTATTGAACTCTTAAGAAAATCTCACTAGTTTTTATTTTGATGTCTTAAGTGGGCCAGAACTTTTGAAAATACTAATGATGGCTGAGCTCTTTTGAAAATCTGATCTTTAGGGTATGTCTACACAGTATAATGCAGTGATTCCCAGGGATACCTGAGCTACTATTAGAAATGGTATAATGGCATTAGTATTATATTTTGCCCGAGCTAATTAGAGTAGCATGGCTAATTAGGTTGGGGGGAGCTTTGGCCTAATACAGCTGTACTACTTCTTGTACAGCATTGCCTCATGCCCTGTAGTGGCTTTTAGTGTCTTCACAACAGGGTTTGTTACTTGAGGGAGTATTCATGGTGGATCAGTAACTTCCTTAAATGAAATGTTGACAGATTTAGTCTTAACCAAGTCTGCACTAGACAGGCCCTGCTGTGAGGGGATGGATTTGGCAAGGCCCAATTCTGTTCAACAAAAGGTTGAAGTTCTTCATATCTGGAATCAGTAAATTGTTTGAACAAATAAAGCCTTGTTCTAAGATGCATCCACCAGTTTTCTAATTAGTTAAAGTATACTTGTCAGGTCCCTGGAAATAATGGTTCCAATGTTTGTATTGTCTTCTGTTGTAGCCTATTGTTCCACTGCTAACTGAGGTTGAAATTCTCACAAGCACTTATGTGATTTGCTCCAGCTACTTTTGTTTATTCACTTGGCTTGTCCTCATCTTAAATGTCATTAGAATTCACTTTCTTTTGATTTGATTTATAAATATTACTGTATTGGCCTGATTCAAGCAAGTTTGGCTCCTGGAGCTGTTGGCCCCCCAAATATCTGATAGATTTCTGGGGCCTGTTGCCAAAAGGCTACTTTCCATTCTAAGTGCTGTTGCTGCTAGCTGTGTAGCAGGAAAGTCTTGTGATGTTTGCTCATGCTGCTGTGGAAATTAATGGCAAAGTCTAATTTTACTGTAGTTGGCTCAGGATCTGATTTTCCCAAAAGGTGAGTAGTCATTTTTCCACCTGCCAGAATAAGAAAATCAACTTAGAATTTGTTCTTGAGGGGTTGTGGCCTGAGGCATTGGACTCACTTTGGCAGATGTTTTTTTTTTGTTTGTTTGTTTTTCCGCTCCCCCCACCCTCCCAGAGGTCAGTTAAAGAGAAAAAGGGATCAGTGACTTGAAAATTAACCTTCTTGCCTACCCTAAGGAAGCTGGTTGAGGAAGGCAGTTTCCCCATCTCCTGTCTGTACAGGAAACAGGCGATCATGGTGTGATTTACAGCTTGGAGGCCTGTGGATGTTGCTTAGCATAACAGGCTTTTAGGGCAGCGGGTGGCAATCTTTTAAGGCAGGCTGGCAGGTGGAAAGGCAGGTGCTGGGACCCAACTACCACTGCTGCTTTACCATGAAATATCATGTAGACCTGCCAGAGATACAGTTAAACTAGGTAGTGCTGGTACCAGTGACAGACCAACGATAGCAGGTAAAAGCTCTGTGTGCGCTAACCACCCAAATATTTACAAAACATCTTGGGTATGGTTTGCAGCCTGCACCAAGTTCCATTGCTGCCATGGCTAGACTGTTCCTAGTACCTGAGCTAACTTGGATATATTTGTGGTACACTGATATATTTGGTGATGGGCACATCTGACATCCTAAGAGTGATAGGCAATAGTCATTGTAATATATTGAATAAAGCTAATGGACTCTTTTGCATAAGGGATACCAATAAACATTCTTTATTATATTTACCATAATGTGTTTTTTCTCAGTTTGAGTTATTTTTTCCTTTTCTAAATATATACTCCATTTTATTTCGCAGTGTAATAATTTTTGATGCTGAGCAGAAAATCTTCTTAAAATGAGTTATTGGAGCCTGGATAAGAGAAGTTGTCTTCAGTACTGCAGACATTTTTTGGTGGACAATGGTGTATTTCATGGTAAGCTTCATACTGTTTTTTCTTTTACCGCTCACATTTCTTATTTGAGTCAAACACAATGGAAATTTTATAGTTGTACCTAACTGTTGGTAATTATCTCTTTAAAGAGAATTAGCAGACAGCTCTAAAAAGTAGCTTTAATAATATTTTTTAATGTGCTGCAGTTCAGTTTGTATTTGCCAAGATAACAGTGCATACTAGTTTGCTATGAAAGCCTTCACTTGGTCATGCCTACCCATAATTACAAAATACCCTAATAAAATGTTATTTACTGATAATGTAATTGATGTCATGTTAACATATGGAAGAAAGTTCTGATTTTGAGCTAAAAAATGGAGAACACATTGTAACTTACTATTTCCTTCAAGTCTCCATTTATGTTAAAGATAGAGCCTTAAATTCAGGGTTGATGTTATTTCTTTATGTTTACTGGAAACATTTACACCACATTTGAATTTGGAGAAAATTATTTGAAATCACTGAAGCACATTCAACTGCATGATCCTGCATATACAAGTACCTTTTAGGAAGATCTTCCATTAATCACTGGTGTTAATGGAGTTTCCATTTGTGTCAACAGGACCATGAAGAAAGAGGGAGGAGAATATTTGGTTGGCATAAATAACTGTCCAGATTAAATCTCTCTTCCTTACATAGGCAACCTCGATTTCTGCCCTCTGTTAAAAAATGTGAAGCTGATGTCTATTTTAGAAGAATTTATGTTTAAGTTATTTTAAATTCATACAATTGAATATTTTTATTATGTGGTGGGAAGTTTCGAAGGAAGTAGCTTGATCAGTTCTTGCAGTTTTAAGATGACAATTATGATTTATTTTTTATTTTAAATATCAGTATTTTGTTTAGTTCATCTTACATGCTTCCATTTATCTCTCATTGTGAACAGTATCTGCCTAGTAGATGAATTAAGCCAGATGCTTAACACACAGGACTCAGTTGCAGGAGGGATAGTGAACCTCAATGTCCTACCTATATATTCCAACTCTAAATCAAGGCTGTGAACAGATGTGCATTTGAGGAAGTCACCATTCAGCTCCAGTTTGGAGTGCTTTAAATTTGGTACTCTTCAGCAACAGAAGTATGGTCCCCAACTGTGCCCCGCTTGCCAGAGCTCTTCAGAATTGCTACAATGGCATGTAGTAGCAGTGCCCTCCAGTTGGTAGTAGTGCTAGGGAGTGCAGTTCTCTGGCATCACCCCGCCACCCAAACTCTCCTCTGTTAATCTTGGTAGCCTATAGAGCCAGAGACTTGTAAGGAATTCTTTTTTCCAACTCTCTTCCTGGATAGCAGAAATCCATGCAGGTCTCTCAGTTTCCAGTGTCCCAAAGGGACCAGAAATTTGGTCAGAGGCCAAGAAGCACGAAGGGATTTCTGCTATCCAGGCAGGGGGCTGGAGAGAAGGATTCCCTGCATGCCCATCAGGCTCTGGAAGTTGCCAAGGACAGCTGAGCACACAGGAGAACACTCACTGGCTGTTTGCCCTAGTCCCAGTACCAGCTGTTTGCTCCAGTTTCCCAGGGAGTAAAATACTGTGAGATGAAGAACTGAGCAAGCCCCCTGTCACACTCTGTAGAGCATACAGATGTTTCAAGAAGTGCTTCGAAATTAAGCACTTCAAAAAGGCTTTTAATTTTTTCAGAATAATTTAACATGCTTATTCAGCCATAAATGTTAGGGCTGTGCAAAGCTTCGGTAGCTGATTCAATTCGGAGGAGATTCAGCTTGATTTGGGGACTGAATCTCTAAATCTGAATTGAATTGGGAGACCAAGTAAAAGCTCTGAATTGATTCGAACCATCTGGATCGATTCAGAAAAGATTTGGCTGATTCAGAGATTCGGCCATACACTAAACAGGCAGTTGACAGCTGCCTCCAGCTGGTAAGTCTGTTGGGGTTTGAGGACGGGGGGGGCATGGGAGAGGAAGGGATTGGGACTGAGGCTTGGACAAGCTGCCGGGGGGGGGGGTGCATTACTCGGGGAGGGTGCTTTCTGGGAGCTGGGGCAGCTGCACTCATCAGCCGGAGGCCAGCAGCACTCAGCCCCAGTGGCCCCAGCTCCCAGACAGTATGAGGTGCCCTGCCGAACTGCGCTGCACCCATGCCATGGGGCAGCTGCCATGCAGGTACTAAGCAGGGGAGGGCAATCTCCACTGCCCTCCACAGCCCTGTTCTGCATGGGGGGGGCTCTGCCATGAGCTCTCAGAGGCTGCCGATCTCCGCTGTCAGAGCCAGTGAGTGCGGGGCTTTAAAAAAAAGAAGAGAAAAGGAAAAAAGCCCCGCATTCACCGGCTGCAGGAGCAGCGACTGGGGCCTCTGGGTGCTTGTGGCAGAGCCCCCCCAGTGCAATACGGGGAAGCAGGGTGGCCCCTCTTCCCCACCTGGCACCCATGCAGCAAGTGTCGCATCATGCGGGTGCAGCACAGCTTGGCAGGGTGCCGCATGCTGTCTGGGAGCTGGGGTGACTCCAGTAGTCAGCCAGAACTCAGCACCACTCAGCCCCAGCTCCCAGACAGCATGGGGCAGCGTGGCTCAGCAGGGGAGACATGCAGTGATCCCTGCTGCCCCTCACTACCCCGTGCTGTATGGCGGGGGATTCTGCCATGAATGCTTAGAGGCCCCAGTCACTGCTCCTGCAGCCGGTGAGTGTGGGGCTTTTTTAAGTGATGGGATTAGGCTGGGGTTGGGCGGGGGTGGGGCTGGGCAGGGCAGTCATGGGAGCTTCTCCCACTGCTTCACTTGCCTAGGGAGAGGCAGGCACAGCTGGAAGAGCTGCCTGGTTGTGCCTGCCTCACCCCAGCCAATCTGAATCACCAAATCTCTCTGAATCATCATTGAATCTTTCAAAGCTGATTCGGCTGAATTGATTCAGGACAGTGATCCAAATCTCCAAACTGAATCACTGTCCACCGAATCCAGATTGAATACTTCCCTGTTCGCACAGGTCTAATAAATGTCTGTATGTTCACTGTATGTTTGGAACTCATCATGCGTTACATTTGTTTGGGGCCCAGGTATATCCAAATAGCATGACTTGATTATCTAGGTTGTGAAAATTCATCAGTGACTATGGTAGTTGTTTTGCCCTTTTTCATCACCTTGGTCGACATGCAAATGCCTCCTTGGAGTTGCTTTGGCACGTGGCTTTTTTGCAATATGTACTTGAGGTTCCCTTCCTCCACTGTGCCAGTCCTCCTTGGATCTCTGTGGAGAAGGACATCCTAGAGTGTACCCAAGTACTGCTGGTACAGCTTCATGAGGCAACAGGGATAGCTGTTTAGATTTTCCCAGGACTCGCATATACAAATAGAGTTAAATATGATGGTAAGTGTGAATGTGCAGTATGGTTGCATTATGAAAGGTAGGGCAGTTTTTGCATTAGATTAATGGCAGGAACAAGCAACAAAAGCACTTCTATGCTTGTATGAATAGGGGTATAATACTGCTCAAAGTAATTTGACCTTCACTGTTAATATTTTTTCTATGATGTTTAAAATGGCCCATATTCTTTCCACTATTTGGCATGTGTGACCTCTTTGAAATCTCTAGGGTTGAAGAGGTGTAACTTAAGGCTGAATATGGCCTCACTGGGCATGTCTACATGTATAATTAATGTGCATGAATAAACTCCGGGGCTAATTGCTCCAGAGGTTTTTGCTCCTGGGTATGCCGTTTGAATGTGCACCTGGGAACATGTAAAACCCTGTATTTACAAGTACTACCCTGCTGCAGAGTTGGTTAATTTTGTACACCTCAGTAGGAGTGAGTATGTAGACACCAAGAAGTTTACTGTATAGTTATTTAGTCAATAATATGTGCCCAGTATGTCTTAAAAGTTGACTGAGTTGACTAAGTTGATTGTCTGTTGAGTAAGAGCTTCCCCTGCTTATAAAATAAAAGCTATAGTATTCCAAACTGTTGGTCTAAAATACTGTAACACTTATGATAAGATGCAAGGCTTGAGCGTTCTCTCACTTATACTAAAGAAAATAAGGAGTGCTTTCATGGAATTCTAAGGCTCTGATTCTGTGTTGCTTTGTTTTTGGGCTCAGCCACTTTTATATTCCCCCTATTCTGGACTCTGTTTGACAGGAGTTGGAGGAGCCTCTGGACTGTGGGAAACAGTTTGGATAAGGGGTGGGCAAAATATGGCTTTGCCCAGGCTGTGGTGGGTCCCTTGGTACCACCTAGCCCAGGCACCATCCTGCCGTGGCACGTCCTGCCGCACCCTGGATATGCAGAGGGGCTGTGGTGGCTCTCCAGCTGGACTGCTTTCTAGGCAGTCTGGGCGGTGGCAGATCCTTATGGCTGCCACCACCACTGCCCCAGCCCCACAGTACTGGTAGGGACCTGCACACACCCCTGGCCTGCCTTGTGCCTACTGTGGGACTCACCTTCTGGCACTGAAAAGCTGCAGTAGCAGCATCACTGGTGGGACAGAAGTGTGCTTGGCATGGGGGAAGAGCAGCCCCTCCCCCTCACTGCTGCCTGATGCCTCCTGCAGCAGCCACATGGAGCCTGTGTTGAGCTCCCCACTTGGCAGCCTGGAGGTGGTGGTGACAGTGATGGAGCCATAGGGTAGCCCAGTGCAGGCTCCAGGAGAAGTGCTGGCCAGTAGCGAGAGGGAGGGGCCACTTTTCATCTATGTGAAACACACTTCTGCCCTACCAGCACTGCTGTTGCTGCAGCTGTTCAGTGTGAGTAGGTGAGTCTGTAGCAGGGGTGGGGTGGGACAGGGCTGCATGCGGTCCCCACCAGTAACACAGGGCTGGGGCCAGCAGCTGTAGTTTCCTGGGCTGCCTAGAAAGGCAATCCAGTGTGGTGCCACCCCAGCCCCGCTGTGTGCCTAGGGCAGCAGACAGGACATGCTGCCATAGTGGTATACAGAGCAGGCATGGGGTGGGCTGGGTCAGGGCTGTGCATACATCTGGCTGATCCACTCCTGCTGGGCTAAGTCTGGAGTGGGCATGGAGTGCGCTGGGTCT